CCCCCTTTGTTTCAAACACCCATCCCATCATCTTACCACTTTCTGAAGAAAGTGGAAGTCCTCTCAGAATCTTTAGTTGCCCTGCCTGTCTGGGCTGTCTCTGTGGCCAGAACTGATACAAAACATTTACCTTCATGGTCATCTTGACTTGGAGGAAGCCAGAGTTGCACAGTGACGAATGCAGTGAGTCAGGTGGAGGAGGACACACTGTGATGCTTTGCAAGGCTGCCTTTCCATTGGATTAGCTTGGAAGCAGCATTCACCATATTTTTGACCTCCAAAAGACATAAATTCCAGAACTGCTTCAGAAACTGACAAGAAAGGTGGAATGAGAGTGTTTGAGGTAAAGGGAATATTTTGAGGAAGATTAATGCCAGTGTGTTTTTTACTGTAAAGTTTACACATTCATTGTATGTTTTGATTCCCTTTTGTAAATCCAACAAATAATCTATATCCAGAATGAATAAATCCTACAAATTGGTAAGAAAAAGAGGCACCAATAGAAGAAAAATGGCAAGAGATTTTGGATAGCACTTCTAAAAGAAGATATGCAAATGGCCAGTAATATATGAAGTGAAAGACCTGAATCCCCTGAGTGATCAGAAAAATACTCTTTGTCTCCAAGAGAAATGAAAACATCACATCCGCACTAAAGTGTGTATGTGAATGTTCATAGCAGTTTTATTCTTAATAGCCAAAAAGTAAAAACAAGCCAAATACTGTGAAGTGATGAATGGATAAATAAAATGTGGTATATCCACTCAGTAGACTATTATTTGGCAACAAAAAGAAGGTAATTACAATACATGCAACAAATGAATGAGGTTTAAAAACGTGCTAACTGAAAGAAGCCAGACACAAGGGACCACAAGTTATATGGTTCTCCTTAACTGAAAAGTCCAAAACAGGCAAATCTGTGCAAACAGAAGGTAGATTAGTAGTTGCCTAGAACTAAGAGTATTGCCAAGTATTGGCAAGCCTATGGAGTGATGGTAAATCTCATGTCTTGCAGAAAGTACAGTTGGTACAATCACTCTTAGAAACATTTTGCCGTCAGTTCTTAAGCTTGAACACATGTGTACTCTGTGATCAAGAATGTCCACTTCGAGGTACAGATGCAAAAGAGATGAGTCCAGAAATGTTCTTGAAAGCATTATTGATGAAAGCCTGACCTGGGAAAGAAGTCCATAGCCCATCTATAGTCGAATGCACAGATGAAGTGTGATATAGTCATACACTCAAATATAACCTAATAATTGGAAATGGGTAGACTACAGCTATGCAAGAGGAGGCTCAGCCTGCAGTGCACCAGCAATCCAGATTCTGAGGCATCTGGGGCAGGAGGATCCCCTGAGCACAGAGGTTCAAGGCCAGCATGGATGACATAGTGAGAGTTCATCTCAAAAAACAAAAATAATGAAGTATTTAAATATTTAATAGCACAACATGCATATGTATTAAATCTAATCAACAGTAAGTAAAAACTTATGTCATAAGAATAGAATGGTAAGGACTCAGGTTTTTTACCATTACTTTTATAGGAATATGTTTATCCAGAAGCCAGAGACAGACAATACTTACTATTTTTCCATAAAGGAGCCAAAAAGTCACGTTTTGACCTCGAGAAATACAATCAACTCAAGGATGCAATTGCTCAGGTAAGTTTTATAAAAATTAAGATAATCTGGGGCCAGGGAGATGGCTCAGTAGAATAAGTGCTTCCCTGGCAAGCGCAAAGGTCTGAGTTCAATCCCTGGTTCCACAAAAAAAAAAAAAAAAAAAATTAAGATAACCTAAGTCCATCTTGTATGGTATCATTATTACCCATAAGCACAGTACTTCAAATGGGTAAACTAGGAGAATGATCCAGCCCTCTTCCTCATGTATAAATTATTCCTCAGTTAATAAAATTGACTAAGCAATAGACAGTTCTATAAAGATTTCACGGTACAAGTACATGAACACATTGCAGGTTCTTTCTATCCTTTTAACATTCACATACTGATATTTTTAGACTTTTGTTTCTTTAGAGTTGTCTGTTTTTCAGCTAGAATTGTCTACTTTTCTCTCTTCTTTAATCTGCCTAGAATTATTGACCCAAAAACTTCCTGCTCAAAGTGTGTGGTACCAAAGGGGCAGAAGTGAAATCTAAGGCAGGTGTGTCGATGCTTTCCTATAATACAGCTCTTTGGCAGGCTGAGGCAGGAAGATCTTAAAACTGAGCTTAGCCTGGGCAAGAGGTGGCTTTGCAAGAGACCCTGTCTCAAAATTTGGAGGGCAAAAAAAAAAGAAAAAAATCTTAAAAGAGCTGGGGATATAGCTCAGTATGAGGGCACTGGGTTCGATCTTTTTATTTTTCAATAAAACAGAATTTTTAAAAAATTGATGTATTGTTTTTAAAAAATTGATGTATTGTTTTAATCTCCAAATATGTATCCCTCAATCTAATATCTTTCTTTTTGGTGAGTAAATCCTCACTCCTTTTCTCCATATTCTTTTGTGACTTTAGAGATTTTGTTTTTGTTTTTTGTTGTTGCTCCTGTTCTGGGGTTGGTAGCAATTTTTTGATAGTCCCTAGAAACTTTTTTAGTTACCCTTCTCTGTCTTTTTTTTTTTTTTTTTGAGACTGGCTCTTACTCTGTAGCCCAGGCTGGCCTGAAACTCCCGGTGACCCTCCTGCCTCCGCCTCCTGAGTGCTGGGACGACAGGCAGTGGCACCACACCTGGCTTCTTCTCTGCTTCTTGCCTCTCTTTGGTGATGCTCCAAATAGAGTTAACCCACCATGCTGCCTCCGTCTAACGACACTCTGTCCTTTGCTGTGTGTGTGCTGCTTCTCAGCTGAAGGAAGTGCTGACCAGAGCGCTCTTTGGAGCTCTTGCAAGTCCAGAGGCTTCAGCCCCACCCAGAGCGAGGTTCAAGCACGTGCGCCCTGAGGTGCTGCAGTGGGCTGCACATCCTTGTTTTAGAGTTGACTCACTAAGTGAAAAGTCTTAAGTAACATAAATTAAAGTTTTGGATCCCTGTAAGAGTTTGCAGTCCAACACATGCTCACCAACACAGCAAGGTGTCTCCGCTGTGCCTGTCTCAGACGTGCCTCCCCTTCTGAGGCCCTGGACTCTACTTTGCTAGCACTGCCTTTCTAAAGGGTTTGTTGTCGGCTGAAACTGCCACAGACAGACTTTTACTTTGGATTCCCTCTTCGTTGTCCTTTGCCCGGGGTTGCCGCTCTTTGTCTTCTGATTTTCAGAGTAACGGAGGTGATCCTTTCAACTCAGAGTAATGGAGGAAAGACAGTTTTCATTTCTCAGTAGGCAGTAATGTTACCGGATGCTTCACTAAGCCAGTTTCTCTCACCTTTGCTTTCTATTTTAGGCAGAAATGGATCTTAAGAGACTGAGAGACCCATTACAAGTACATCTGCCCCTCCGACAAATTGGTGAAAAAGATTGATCTGCAAAGAGCCTGTGAATCCTGACAGAAAGAACACCTGTTTATAACTCTTGCCTTTTTAATTAAAGCATTGCAGGTGGAAGCTGGGAGCCATGGGGGAGTAGAGGGTTTTTACCTTTAATTATAAAACAAAAAAAAAGATTTTAGGGAAGAAAAGAATGTTAAATCTGAAGATCGGGGATCATGGAATATAAGCTGCAAGGGCTCGGTGAGTATTGTGTTCATCAAGCACCTCAGATTTTGGAGGAAATGATGTAATCATGTAGCTGAGAGATTCACAAGGAGGAAACGGTGCTGGGGTGTTTGTCTCTTGCATCTTCTTTGCAGGGTCAGCCAAACAGTAACACACCAGCACCCTACTCAGCTCTATTTTTTTTTTAATTTAACATTTCTTATTTTTGACATAGGAGTAAATAAATATACCGGAAAAGTAAAACTTCATTATATGGGGGGGGGGGCAAACAGAGTCTGAGCCGTATCATTAGCATTTATTTTCAGTTGGACCCAGTCTCTGCAGAGTTACCAGGAGTCTCCCTGCTAGATGCCTCTTCTGACCACCCCTGTACCCCATGGTTACACTAATTTATCCAAATGATCATCGGAGCCAAACTATGACTGTTTGATAATTGACACTTTGGATTCTCCCTTACCTCCTTCTTAAATGTCTGGATATTCCAGTGCTCTGGGTCCGTATCTAGAAATCATTGGCAATACTGCATGAGTTTTTTTCTGGTTTGTTTTGGATTTTTATTAGTCTTTCAGAAGAGAAAAACTTTCCCTCCTTTCCCTACCGATCCCTCCTGAGGGACATTGTGCAGCTGTATCACCAAATCAGGAAGACGTGAGGTTTACAGACTGGCTAAAACATCACGGCTCTAGCCATTTCAGAACCAGAATAATGTCATTGCTGTTTATCTGCTTGTGTGACAGCACCCCAGGCCACGCTGGCGGCACTGCCGTGTCTGGAGGCTCGTTCATCTCGCAGGACACCCACTTCTGCCCTGCTTGTGAGCCCTCCTGCCTCCACCACCTCAGTCACTGTAAATCAAGTGTGTGGATCTCAAAGGGTGCAATTTATCTTTATACGGGAATACATTTTTATGGCTTCCTCCAGCCTACCCTCTCCACCCTAGTTTTTCTTATCTTAAATTGAGAGAAAGAAGAGTCAATCTTATATTCTATCAAAGTGTTTTCTACCATATTTCGAGCCAGCGCCTGCACTGGAAGAGTCAAAGGAATCTGTGTCAAAGCGCACGCCTAGCTGCAGTGGGGGCAGGTTGGCATGGACGCGGGCTGCTCTCCTTCCAGTGATTCATCCATCCTCCTGTGCAGAAGGTTTTGTTCTCTTTTCTTCCTGCTTTGGGATCATTGTATATGAAGAGGAACCCTTTCAGTGACAAACCCAGACTCCAGGTGCCTTGCAGAGGTTGAAGGCCAGCCAGGGCTGCTGCCGCTCCCGCTGCCACCCTTCACTGGCATGATGGAATGACAGGATGCATGTCGCCAGTCCCCAGCTCGCCTCCCACTTCCTTCTCTGTCCAACTCCCCCACGCCCATTTATTTTCTTTGTGTGGATTATTTTTAAACCATTTATCCTGTTCATGTGCAGAGTTTTTAAGAAGAAATAGCACAGTGCAATGAACAAATCCTTTGGGGGGGTGTGGGAGGCAAGGGAGGGAGGACATGGAGAAAAGTCCTTTAAACAATAGCAAAATATTGAATGTGTAAAATCCTGTATCATTTATGAAATATGTATAAAAAGCAATGTACCTTCTGGAACAATAAATACTTATTCAATTTTTGAACCATAGCATCTCATTCTTTAAAACCACAAAAAAATTTACTTTCTTATGATTCCAGGTGGAAAGTGCTCTCTTCAAAAATTGCGTTTAACAATTGTCAAATTAACTTTTCTTATTAGACCCTGTATTTCAGAACAGGCATTTCACTGATTCTTCCCCAACAAAGATGCTCATTACTTTGCATATTTTCTAGAGCCACCAAGAGGATGAGTTTCCTCTGCGACCATTAGTAAAGTCAGTAGCAGTACTGAGACTGACCCCCTCATCTGATGATCAGTAGGAAAAGGCTCCTTTATGTCAGATCACCCTGATTAGCCTAGACTCCAGAAAGTCACTCAGGAAGAAACCAGGATTCAATAGTAATTATTTTCAGAGATTACATCAAATTTACAGTGATGGCCAAACAAGAAAATACCACATGCTGCTAAATTTGCCAATGCATATCAAAAACATATCTTGTGTAGTTACAGTAGGAGGGGACATGCAAAGAGCCTTCAAAGTCAGGTCCCACTCCATGCAGCAGCAGCAGCAGCAGCAGCAGCAGCAGCAGCAGCAGCTTAATACCAGCAGCCCTGGGCTGTGTGTAAGGTATAAAAGGAGAAGACTGAAAATTTGAAGGCATGGCTTGTGTTCAGCAAATAATGATCCATATTCTACACATTCTGACAAACTTTGCTGGAAATATTTTTTGAACAAGAAAGTAAAAACATGATTTTTGCCGGATACGGTGGTAAATGTCTGTAATCGTAACACTGTGGGAGGCTGAGGCAGAATTGTAAATTGGAGGCGAGTATGGGAAACTTAGCAAGATCCTGTTTCCAAAATAAAAACGGGGCTGGAGATGTAGCTCAGGTCAATGTGAAGGCCTGAGGTTCAATCACCAGTACCATAAATGAATGAATGGGTAGGAGTCCTGCCTGTAAGCTGAACAACAAGAAAAAAACGCTGATTAAAAAGGAGCAAAAAAGACATGTCCCTGAGGAAGACACACAAATGGTTAATAAATATATGGAAAGATGCCCCTATTCATGAGTTATTAAGAAATGCACATCATTACTGTGCTACCATGAAATACCACTTCCTATCCATTAGGAGGGACATGACCACAGAAGCAGAAAACAAGCATGCTGAGGATGAGGAGAGCCTGGAGCCCTTCCCACTGCTGCTTGGATATGACGTAGTACATCGTCTAAGAGTTAAAACAGAATCACTATGATTCCACAATTGTGCTTCTGCATATAGGCCCAAAAAATTGAGAATAAGGGCTCATGCACATATGTGTACATAAAATACAGCGTGTGCATATAGTGGGCTATAATTGAGCCATCAAGAAATGAAATTCTTACATATGCTACAACCCAGATAAAGCTTGAAGACTTTATCCTAAATAAGATTGTCACAAAACACTAAAACTTCATGATTCCCCTTCTCTGAAGTATCTAGGGCAAAGTCATAAAAATAGAAATTGTGGATTCTAGGGGAAGTAGAGAGTGTCTAAGAGTTTGTGTTTTGTGGGCATCAATCTTTGGTTTAGGGAGGCGGAAAAGTTCTGGAAGTGGGTGGTTATGGTTGCAGGTAACATGATTGTACTTCATGCCACTTAAAAATAGCTACAGTGTGAATTTTATGTCATCTATAGCACTGTAGAAAAAGGCATAGAACTTTCATAACAGATAGCTCCTGATCAGTGTTAGATGAGTTTGTTCATGTAGGTATTTTTGCTGAGGGAGCTTAGGCTTTTAGAAGTAGAAAAACTAGGGTTCTCAGGGTCAGGTCCCTGGAGCAGCAGTGTGACATCCGGGAATCGGTAGAAATGTAAGTCCCTGGGTCCCCGCTGAGTCAGAATCCAGGAGGGGGCTGCACACTGAGTTCCGAGAGCCTTGCTAGTGACCCTGATGGGAAGCACTGTTGTAGACAAATTATTGCTTTAAAAAGAAGGAAACTGCCACAGAGGACGTGTGTGTCACAGCTCATCAGTGAATCTGGACATCAAATACCGTACTGCGTGGCTGGAAGAGTGAGTCTGTGACGAGGGTAAGTGGAAAAGATATGTAACCAGAGTGCCTGCTAATGTGATTTCCTGCTTGTCATGGAATAGTGGTAAACACACAAATGCTTCCAAAAAAAAATAGAAATAGGTTGATTTATTTTTTTTTTAATCTATCTGGAAGGATATCCAAAAAAGGAAAACATCTTAGACTTTGGAATGTCACTCTTCCAAGTAATTCCAAACTCCTTGTCTTCTGTGATGTACTTTGTGGTTATTTCCTTACAATAAATGTGTGGGCTAATTGAAGGAGTCCAACTGAAAATAGTTACCCTCTTTATAAGTTTTCATTTACTGTATAAATGTGCCACATGCTGAGCAACTCCCCCTCCTTCACACACTTCAGTTCCTGTGACAGCCCTCTTGGCTCCACCCATAAATCTCTGGCTCTGTCTCAGCCTCCTTCCCAGCACCCTCTTCCACTGCCCACATCTGTGACGCTAGGCTGCCCCCAGGCTCCATCTTGGGTCCCATAGCTCTCCCTCCAGCTGAGGGACAGCAGATTGACTTCTACTTTCTACCTGATGGGTTTCTATTGCTGCCTTCTGTGCATTAAAGTCCTTCAGTATCACCAGCACAATTTAAAATTCTTTTATCACATACTTTAGAAAGCGTGGAAGGTTAAAAACAAGTATTGCTGGACATGGTGATGCATGCCTGCAATCCCAGCACTCAGGAGGCTGAGGCAGGAGAATCCTTGCAGGTTTGAGGCCAGCCTGGGCTACAAGTGAGCTCAAGGCCAGCCCAAACTGAATAGCAAGACCCTAGCTCAAAAAGACAGAAAGAAGAAAGAAAGAGAAAGAAAAGAAAGAAAAGGAAAGAAAGAATAGGGGGGAAAAAAAGAGCTGGGGAGATAGCTCAGCAGTCTAAGTGCCTACTGGCAAGTGCAAGGACCCAGGTTCTATCCCTGATACCATGTGCTATGCCGCTGGCCCCTGCCCCAAAACTGGTGTGTTGGTGCACATCTGTAATCCCAGCGCTGTGGCGGCTGAGACAGAAGGATCACTATGAGTCTGAACTGCATAGCAAGACCCTGTATCAAATAATTTTTTTTTGGTTCCCAAGTTTTATTCAAGAACTCATAAAAAATATTCCATACAAAGGAGCTTTAATCCTCATCTTCCTCCTCTTCTTTGTCCTGGTTAATCTGGAAGTAACGTAATTCCTAACTCTCTTTGCTGCTAGCAACTACGCACAACCAGCCACGCAGATTCTTACTCTTCAAATATTTTTTGGTGAGATATTTCAAATACCTTTTGGAAAAAGGCCCCTGGGAAGTCACGGGCATCTTGCTCTTGCTCCTCTCGATGGTGACCGCCCTCCCCCGAGATTCCCAGCCTTGCCGTTCACCTTGATTCTTTCCTGAAGAAAGCGCTCCAAATTGGCAGCATCCGCGATTCCGTCTTCTACAGGATGTGTGCGATCCAGGGGGAACTTCAGGACCTGCTTTCCCACCCCCCTTTACTGCAAGCTTTTTCCTTTGTGAGCCATGTCAGGGAGGCACATATTTTTTTTTTAAGTGTTAACACTAAATATGAGGTAAGAGAAGCTAAAAAAATACCTCAAAGAAGCAATCAATCCAAAACATGGCCCATTCTGTCCTGAAAGTGACAAAGTTTCTTTGACAAATGACATGGAGGAAAAGAAAGCAGATCATTATACAGTAAAGAAAATTTAAGTGATCACACCAAATGAAAATTCTTGTTTGAATCTTGACTCAACCTAGCAATTAAAAGAAATATTTCAAACTATCTGGAAAATTTAAACATAAAGCATCAGATATTAAACAATTATTACTAATTTTTATAGTTGTAATAATGGCATCATGATTATATAAAGAAATAAGTATCTTAGAAATGCATATATTGATGAAATACTAACAAAATGCTAGCAATTATTACAGCTGAATGTACATTATTGTTCTTTTTGCATTCTTAACGTATTCCATCATAAAAAGAAGAAGGGCAAGTAACTAAAAAGGAAAAAATAGAAATAAGGGGTAAAAAAATCTTACTATCCTGGAAATTCTTGTTTACAGAATCAAAGGGCTATCTGTTAAAAGTCCTTGACTCCAGCAATCAATCCTGGCAGCAAATCTGGCTTTATCTCCTGCACACGTCCTCTGTTTCTCTGTAACACGTACGAAGCCCTCAGAGCACTTGGTAAGGACAGGAAGGGTGGGGGTTGGCTTTTTCTGGTGGAAGCACTAGCATTTGAACAGCAGTAGTCTACAGTGAGACCATCCCGGGGTCACCCGTGCTGGCCTCAAACCGCACCTTAATAAGCTAACAGTCAAATTACCCTCTTCCTATTAACATCAATGAGAAAGTAACTGCAAGTTTAGATCCATTGAGACCACTTTTTAGACTCGAAAGTACTGGAAGGGGCTTTTTTTTTTTTTTTTTTTTACCTTACTCCCTGCCAAAACCCATCTACAAGCATGACATCTGGCCCCTTCGTAAGCGCTACCATTTAATTTAGCTGCTGCATCCAACAGGCCTCAGTACTTTGAATTCTACTGAGTTCAGCAAAACTCTGTGCTACAAGATTATAAAAACAACTTTGGTGAGTACTTTCCAGATGAAATTCCTTTGCTAGTCACTAGAAATCTGATTATTAAAAAAAAAAAAGGATAAAAGTAAGTCCAAGAATAGAAAAAGTTCAAAGCGCCCAGCCAAAGTAAGATTGGGAGAGAAAAACGCTACTTTCACTCAGACCTTTCTTTAAAATAGCATTTTAAAAAATCAAAATTAAAATAATATTAAAAAATAAAATAAAATAGCATTTTAAAAAAACAGAAAACCTCCACTCTTCATTCTTCTCTCTTACATTGGCTTTATATTACTGCTTGCTAATTTCCAGGAGTCCAGAACACTTGAGTATCAGAGAGCTGGCAAACTCCACACCTAAAATTACCATGGCTGTGTCTGCTGACCTCTAATACATTGAACTTTCCAAAATGTTGTTAATGAATTGTTCCTAAATCAAAGAAGCTCCATCCCCTTTTTTTAGTGTGAGAATTAATGAAATAAATAATACACATTTGAAAGTTTTGAGAAGAAAGGCACTATGAAAATACTAGGTATTACTGCTACAATTGGTAAAACCACAAGTTTAATTTTGGGGGAGAAGTTTTGAGACCAGAAATCATAATAAAATAGACTTAGGAGCTTGCTTCAAGAGACTAGTGTACCATCCCAGACCTGCAACTACATTCTTGTGTACTACAATCAGCTCCTTAGCGTTCTGAGCAGGACGTTTCCTAGTGGCCAATTCCAATGACGTGGCTTTACTCCCTTCTTCTTCAATGTGCAGTCATGCCACGTGCGGTGCTATGACCACAACATCATGAATCAACTCCTAGACGTCACAAAACAGGTTTTGACAAGCGGGGATGTCCCTCATTTAGAGTTCCCTTCGGGATAAGATACTGGAGATTCATTGCAAGGACTTCTTCGGAGAAAACAATAGGAGGATGAAAGATTGTGAGCATTTTTTTTCCTTTGTAAATAAAAGTACCAATAAAATAACTCTGCTGACCGTGTGAAGCAGGGCTTCTCTTTGGGGTCAAGGCCAGAGTCCGGACACCTTATCACCTCATCCTCTTCCTCTGTTAAGACCCTAGCCAGCCCCGATAAGGTCCTTCTCCATAAGAGTTTAGACATTTAAAAAGAAAACACTTGAGAAAGGAAGACAGATATGAACAGGATTTGCCAGTCCGTTGCTGGTGGTTGGTCCAGAAAGATGCCTCAGGTCCTGCTGCTCACAAGCCTCTTCATCCTGGTCACCTCCGTGTCACCCATGGGTGAGTCTTGAGTCAAGAACTTGGCACGAAAAGACTTTGTTGTTGTGACTGGCTACTGTGTGCAGGCTAAGGACTAGATTTCAGTGTTTCAAGTGGCAGTTCTAGAATTGTATAAGAAAAATCTCATTCTCTATGAAAATGTATTCTCAGAGAATTCCTGTTATGTGTTCCATTTAGCCTCTTACCTGGGCATCCAAAACTTGCATGAACCCGCCACACGCTTCTTTCCACAAGCTACATATTTCTTGGCACTCACATAAAAGAAACTCCAATCTCTTCATATTCTAGGCACTGTTATAGTTACAACTTGAAAGATTGTCTTAGATTTTAGAGATGAGCTTAGAAAGTTTTCTTTAGATTTAAGGATGTGAGAGCTCTGGCCTCATGAAAGGCATAGATCTGGATAAGCCAGACTTTACCCTTGACCTTGACAAATATATGTGATTTTTTCTCAGACCAAGCAACTGCTGAACTCTCTCAGTTCTCTGGTTTGGCACAAAACTACCTAGGCAAAGGAAGTTTCATTTCATGCTGGAACTCTGGACAGAACCTAAGTTCTATGTGGAAGTGAGGGTGGGAAGCCGCATGGAGGGACCTTCCCTCCTGGCATTTTTGTGTAACTGGGCACTTGGTTGACCCTGATTTATTTCTTTCAGAAACTCTGACACTTTAACGAAGTAGGCTTGAGGGGCCAAGGAGACAAAGTTAGTAAAGTAGTTTCCTGGGTGGGATCCTAGAACAGGGAGCAATGCGGGTAAAAACTAAGGAAATGTGAATAAGACTATTGTCTTGAGTTCATGCATTCACAGTGGTTCGCTGATTGTAGCAAAGGTGCCTTGCTAATGCATGCAGTGTGTGTAAAATGAATATGCCTGGAGGGCTGGGGCAGAGTCTGTGGGAACCCTTTGGTGCCGTGTTCTTAGTTTTTCTCTAAGTCCACAGCTGTCCCCACAAATGGGCTTGAGCCACCATCCGTGATCAGCTACATCTGCTGGCCAGTGAAGCAAGGGTTCGGCAGAATCTTTCTAGTCTGTCAGGGACCTCCAGCCAGATCTGCCTATTAGTGTCCGGCTTGGCCCTCCACAGCTCTCCTGGCCCCACCTCAGTACCTAGGATGTTGGGCGCTGTCTGGGGAGAACTGTGGGGGCCAGGAGAGACCATAGAAGTGAGCAGAGAAGAGGACGAGGAGGTGTGGGAAGGACAGGAGGTGAGAAAGGGGACTGGGGGGGGCAAGGGAGAGGGGAAGAAGGGCTTCTGCTGAGTGGTACAGGGTGGGATGCGGGCCCTATTCAAGGCCTTCTGCTGGGCCAGCCACAGGCAGAGGCCTGATAGGACCTAGACCCCAGATGCCAGGGTCAGGAGCCTTCCCGTGGATGAGCATCTATCCACAATTTAGGACCAATGTGCCTAACACCAAATTCTGGACTCACCCTCAGACTGAAAGCAGAAATTATCACCAGTGGCCAGATTGTTGAAGAACTGAGTTACTATCTTGAAGTGGGATGGAGAAGGATGAAAACACTTAATGTTAGAAGACATGGGTGGCTAACATATGGACACATACACATTATTATTTTACAGCAGAGGATCAGTCAGTTTCTCCTCTTAACAAAGACCCCCTACAAGAGAGGAAATGAACTTTTGTTTGAGACAGGGTCTCGCTATACAGTTCAGGCTGCCTTGAGCTCACATGGTAGCCTAGGCTGGTCTTGGACTCACAACCATCCTGCTGCTTCAAGTACTGGGATTACAGGCATGTGCCACCAAGCCTGGCTAGAAGTGAACTTTTAACAGCGTAAGTGATACTTGAGTTTGAGGAAAAACTATAAATTATGAAATAGTCATTACAGGAATTTCTGTAGAAGCCATTAAAGGTTGAGTAGCAAACCATTTCTCACAAAATCAGAGCCAGGAGATGAGCACAGTATTTCTATGAATTTATAATTACCCGTGAAATTCCTCTGGAAATTTGCTGGGCAAGAGAGCCACGGGCGGGAAGCAATGAGGAGAATGTTCTCTATGGAGAGGGAAGGGAGGCTGAAAGTATTTCTTCTCCTGTGGGGACATCAGCCTGTGCTGCTGGGTTCAGTTGACATACCTCTGGGGACATTTTAAAGAGAAAGTTGCATGTGCCATCTGAAACTGTGCAAAGCTGTTATTTCCAGAAAACACAGTGTCCTGCTTATTTCTGGTCCCACGCTGTCCCATTTCCTCTGGTGATTACTCATCAGTGTAATGCATGCAGCAGAGCAGCTGACGTGGGCCAGGGCCTTTTCCTTTACAGTGGAAGAACCTTTACACTTCCTATCAAGTTAAACTTCCCACTGAGGGGAAATTCGATTTGTGCTCTTCTTTACCAGCCATTCACATCCATTTCCTTCTAATTTGCACAGATGGGGAGCTCACTGCGCTTGATACAGCCTCTCTCGTGACTGTAGAGTTGAACTGTCCCCTTCATGATTTGTTGTTATTCTTGTAATCAAATATTTAATTCCTTTTCCATAAGTCTGCTCTAGTTTTCAAAACTAATATGTTTTCTTTCTTTTTTTTTTTTTTTTTTTTTTCGGAACTGGGAATTGAACTCAGGCCCTTGTGCTTGCCAGGGGAAGCGCTTATTCCACTGAGCCATCTTCCCAGCCCAAACATGTTTTCTTCAGTCTTCTTTTTCCCCTATAGTTCTTCATTTCTTCTCCAGTCACCAGTATTTAGATTTGGCCCCCTTCTGAGACTGGTCAACACTCTTGGCCAAGTTAGTTGGTGACTTCCACAAAGGACAGCCTCCGAGGGTATGTACACAGTACTGAGAATGCTCTCTGCCCTGTAGAATCCTAACCTTCCTCATCTAGACAACTATCCTTCTATTCATTGATGACTTGGATAAAATGTCTAGTCTAATGCGAACACTAACCCTTAGATAGGCTTGAAGTAATGCTGTGAAGGGCATCGTTGAAAAATGTTGAAATCATGTGGAGGAATCTTAAATAATTACTTTTGGAGGCTTTAGATAATTTGTAGTGCTCACAAAAGTCAAAATGCAAGATCAAGAATGTGGACTCAGGCAGCTGGCACTGTGACCCAAAGCATCCCTAGATGCCTCTGAGGTCCCCTCTCCATCCCCAGCTCTAGATCCTTGTTCTGCTTACATCAGCCTGAATGAGCCCTGGAGGAACACAGAGCACCAGTTTGATGAGTCTCAAGGTACCCCTCTGTGTGACAACCACGTGGATGGGGAATGGTACCGCTTCACAGGCATGGCGGGGGACGCCATGCCCACCTTCTGCATACCAGAAAACCACTGTGGCACCCACGCGCCCATCTGGCTCAATGGCAGCCAACCCCTGGAAAGTGATGGCATTGTACAGCGCCAGGCCTGTGCCAGCTTCAAGGGGAACTGCTGCCTGTGGAACACCACGGTGGAGGCCAAGGCTTGCCCCGGAGGCTACTACGTGTATCGCCTGGCCAAGCCCAGCGTCTGCTTCCATGTGTACTGTGGCCGTGAGTACCTTTCCCCCAACTGCTCCACAGAGGGACAGTACTGTGTGAAACCCAGGGATGGCGACAGTAGTGCCTGGGGGTTCGAACAACTGTGATTTGGTTGGGGGCCAATAATACCTCCCGGTTGTGATCCCTGAAATCTATTCTTAGAATTTCTGAAAACTTCCTGAAGAAATAGAAAGTGAAAGGAAATGTAACTAGACCAGTTATACTTTTTGGTTTTTTAGTCCATTCAAACAAAACATTAAAATATAAAATGTTAATTTAGTTTTTCAAAATAATAGCTTTCCAACCTTTTTGAATATAGAAGATTCACTTACAGGACGGTTGTCATGATGGATGGATGTGCAGGCAGCTCTATGATAGCATCGTACTTCAAACGCGCCAATTGGTTCAAATGCTATGTGATGGAAAGAAGCTACTTGAGGCCAGTAATACTTTTAAATAAACTTCTGTGTTATCAGTTCCATCAAAATCTGTATGTTGATGCCAGGGATTGAGCCCAAAGCCTTGCACATGCTAGACCAGTGTTCTACCTTTGAATTGCATCCCCGCCCCTGCATACACTTTGAGAGTACATGGCAGAGTGCTGTTACTTAGCCTGTTGCCCTTGTTCTCTATCAGTACGCGACTGCAGTACATAATCATCACACTCCTCTACAGCTCATGCGTGGTGACAGGTCTACATTTGCAGAAACCCTGTGGCCACCCGCAGGCCTGGATCTGAAGGTGGGAACCACTGATCTAAATGAGCAAAGATGTCCCCCCAAGCAGTCTATCTGTTTCTGGTGGGTGACGTAACCCTGAACCATGAACATTTTCTTGATGGTGGCTGGGAACTCACACCCCGTGACCACTCTCATGAGACTAAAGAGTGAGAGTCCTCTGGCCCTCGTTTCACAAGATAAAGATACGCCTTTATCTCTCCATAGATTTTTACGACATCTGTGATGAGGACTGCCATGGCAGCTGCTTGGACACCAGCCAGTGCACGTGCTCGCCAGGAAGCGTGCTAGGCCCAGATGGGCAGACATGCTTTGGTAAGGAGTCACTGGGAGGTAGGAGCAGGCTATGGGTCCAAAGGGACCAATCAAAATCCTCCTGCCGCAGAGCTCTGTCACTGTCCCATCTTGTGTCTCTGAGTGCTTGCAAGGTGTCTAACTTTTTAGTGTGTGGCTAAGGCTCAAGCTGAACTTCCGATGTGCTGAGGGGCAGCATGGAGCTGTGCTGTGTCCCATCGTAGCGATGTGGTTGGGAGCGCTTGAGATGTGGCCAGTGGGACCAAAGATCTGAATTTAAATTTCAGAAGTGATCCTTGATTCAATTATTTGAAGATCAAAAGTGTCTGGGGGAAATTTGAGTAACTAAATTTTGTCTTTACTTATCTAATGGCAAATAGAGATCAAATATTTCTGGATTCATAGTCCAGAGTGCTAACCATTACACCATGGAACCTCACAGAGATCAAATATTTCTGATGATAATTTGGCATCCTAATTCAGATGTGCTATAACTTCATTTCAGAGCATGTTCCAACACTTTGTATTATTTATTAGTGTTTCCAGGAGTTCTTCAGGCAGATATTAAAACACAAATACGTGCTTGTTAACTAACCTGCTCTTTGTACATCAAAGATATCACATCACACACATCTCCTCCCTAACTTATCTTAGTCCTCTTTGCCTATCAAAACCTCAGGTTCCTACATGTGGTACATGTGCTTCACAGAGGTCATGAAGCACCTGAAATTGCAAGCAGAGTTTTGTGGTTTTATATGTGTGTAAATTAATTATTATTTTTAAATTTTAAATTTTTATTAGTGCATATTTGCAAAACCTAGTCATTACACTCACCATGGGGAGGTGGTACCTGTATGTAACCCATGTTGATGCTTTTGTCTTCCCTTCCCGTTGCTTCCCTCCTCCCTCCACCCATCTCTTGGTCCTCTTCCCATTTCCAGGAGGACTGTCTTCCTGTCTCCCATCATCCATCTCTTATGTTGCTCTTTTATTTACATTTTAGGTTTCTATGTGTAGGAAGCCATGTGATATTTTAGCTTATGTGTCTGATACATTTCACTTCACATTATCTTGTCTCAAGGTACATCAGTTTGCCTACAAATGACTCAAACATATCCTTGATGGCTGAGGGGTACTCCACTATATGTAAATATCACATCTTCTTTATCCATTCATCTGTTGATGGGTATATAAGCTGCTTCCAAGACTTAGCTATTTTGAGTTTGACTGCTATTGACATGGGTGTGCACACACCACTATAATTGGATGTCTTGAACTCTTTGAGGAAGCTATCTAGAAGGAGAATAGCTGGGTGGAATTTCTAGTTTCAGTTTTTTGACAAATCTCTGTAGCGTTTGTTATTTTTTGATTCATTGATGATTGCCATTCTTTCTAGGGTCAGATGGAATCTCAGTGTCATTTGAATCTTCATTTCTCTAATAGATGTCGAACATTTTTTCATGTATTTATTGGCCATTTGTACTTCTTCTGAGAAGCATCTATTTATATCAGTTGCCTATTTCTTGACTGAGTCTTTTATTTGGAGGATCTAATTTTTTTGAATTCTATGTATATTCTAGGTATTCATCTTCTGTCTAAGGAATAGCTGGCAATTTTTTTTTTTTTTTTGCATCCTGTAGAATGTCTCTTCGCTCTGTTGACTGTTTCCTTTGCTGCACAGAAGCTTTTTAATTTGATATAAACCCATTTTTATTTCTTGCACATTGAAGTTCTATACAGAAAATCCTTGCCTAAGTCTTTGAGAGTTTTATCTATTTTATCCTGCAGCAGATTAATGTTTCTGTTTTAATATGCAGATCTTTGATTCATTTTTATTTTAGCTTAGTATATGGTGAGAGATAAGGATCTAGATTCCATCTTTTGTGTGTGGAGGGCCAGTTTTCCCAACACCATTGGGTTCTTCCAGGGTAACTTTTTGGTCCCCTTTGTCAAAGATCAGATGGCTAAATGTGTTCAGGGCTGTTTCTTCATTCCTCTATTCTGCTCCACTGAGCTGAAAGTCTGTTTTTGTGCCAGTGCTGTTTTTACTACTACATCTTGATGATATAATTTGAAGTCTGGAATCCTTGCCTTACTCATTACCCCAAATTACTTTGCTATCTTGGGTCTCTTCTGGTTGCATATAAATTTTAGGATTGCTTTTTCTAATTTAGTGAGGAATTCTGTTGATATTTTGATTGGGATTGCATTAAATCTATGTATGAGGGGGCTGGGGAGATGGCTTAGTAGAATAAGCGCTTGCCTGGCAAGTATAAGGGCCTGAGTTCAATTCCTGGTTCTGCAAAAAAAAAAAAAAACCCTGGCACCACATACCCCGTCAGCCCCACCCTCAGGGTGGGCTGAGTCAAAAAAAAAAAAAAAAAAAACTATGTATGAGTTTTTGAAATATGGCCATTTGACAAAGTTTGTTCTGCCTATCCAGGAACAGAAGATATCTGTTTTCTGATATCTTATTCAATTTTCTTTTTTTCAGAATGTATAGCTTTTGTTCTAGAGGTCTTTTATTTCCTTTGTTAGATTAATTCCTAAGTATTTAATTTTTCTTAAAACTATCATAAATGGTCTTTTTCCTAATTTCTTTCTCAGTTGGTTCATTATTGGTATACAGAAATGCAATTGATTTTTGTGTGTTACTTTTGTATCCTGCTACTTTGATGAATTTGTTAGTTCTCAGAGTCTTGGTGAAATTTTTTGTGTCTTCTATACAAAGGATCATGTCTTCTGTGAATAAGGATATTGAGTTCTTCCTATGTGCATCCCCTTTATTTCTTTCTTTTGTCCAATTGCTCACACTAAAGTTTTTAGTACTATATTGAACAGGAGTGGTAATAGTAGACATCTTTATTCTGTTCCTGATTTTTTTTTTTTTTTCAGAACTAGGGATTGAACTCAGGCCCTTGTGCTTGGCAGGGAAATGCTTATTCTACTGAGCTATCTCCCCAGCCCCTGTTCCTGATTTTAATAGGATGCTAGCAGTAGATGTGTCATAATGGCTTTTTATCAGATTAAAATAAGGTCTTTTATACCTGTTTCCTTCAGCACTTTTTTTTTTATCATGAACAGATGTTGGATTTTATCTCAAAGACTTTTTCTGCATCTATTAAGATGATCGTAAGATTTTTGCCCTAGCTTCTTCTTATGTAATGTACTGCATTGATTAATTTGCATATGATGAACCATCTTTGCATACTTGGGATGAATCTTACTTGGTCATGGTGTATAATCTCTTTAATGATTTGCTGCACCTGTTTGCCAGCATCTGATTGAGAATCTTTGCATCTTTGTTCATGAAAGAGATTTCCCTTTCATTTTCTTTTTTAATTGACTTATTTTCTGGTTTAGTATCAAGGTACTACTACTTTCTAGAAATGGAGTATTGGAGTACTCCTCTCAACTTTATTAAACAGTTTGAGGAGTATTAGCGTTAGATCTTTCTTGAAGTTTCTGTAGAACTCAGTGGTGAATCCATCATATCCTAAGTTTTTCTTAGTTGGTAGGTATTTTTTATTTATTTGAGTTTGCTCCTCATTTTATACAGGGTCTCACTACACAGCTTAGCCTCATTGTGAGCCTCCTGTCTCAGCCTCCCCAGCACTGGGATTACTGGCATGCACCACCACACCTGGTTACAGTAGTCAGTACTATGTGCCTGTGTTCTGGGGTCCTGGCACAGGATGTGGTATTGGGAATTGAACCCAGGTCCTTGTGCTTGCCAGGCAGGTGCATATGCTGCTGAGCTATTCCCCCGGCCCTGTTAGTAGGTATTTTAAAAATTACTGCTTCAATTTCATTGTCTATTATTGGATTATTCAGGGCTTTTATTTCTTCTTAGCTCTGTTTTGGCAATTCGTATTTATGTAGGAATTTATTGATTTCTTCAATCTATTGGAATGCAAGTTTCCAAAGTAGTTACTATAATCTTCTGGGTTTCAGTTATGTCCATTGTGATTTTGCCTTTTTATTTCTAATTGTATTAGTTAGGGTCTTTTCCTTTTTTTTTTTTTTTAAGATTACCTAAGGATTTGTCTATTCTGCTTATTCTTTCAAAGAACCAGCTCTTTAATTCATTTATTCTTCATATTGTTTTTTAGTCTAAATTTCTGCTCTGATCTTTATAATTTCCTTCCTCATGTTATCTTTGGTTTGGATTGTTCTTGCTTTTGTAGAACCTTGAAGTACAACATAAGGTTATTTATTTTGAGCTTGCTCCTCATTTTCTCATATGGACATTCACAGCTATAAATTTCCATCTTAAGGCTGCTTTCAATGTGTCCCTTGGTGTTGTGACCCGTTGATTATTCAAGAATGTATTGTTTAATCTCCATGTGTTAGTATAAATTCTATGGTTTCTTTTGCCTTTGATTTCTATGTTCAGTGCATTATGAAATGGTAATTTCTGTAAGATAATTTCAATTATTTCATATTTATTTAAGCATGCTTTATGGGCTTATATGTGATCTATTTTTAGAAAATTCTATGTGCTATTGAGAAAAATGTATATTTATTGTTATTGAGTAGAATACTCTGTATATATCTATTAAGTTCAGTTGTTAAACGTATGTTTCAACTCTGATTTTTAAAAACATTTTACCTAGTTGATCTATTTGTAATAGGGTTTGTCATATTAAGGTCCCTCACTCTAATTATGTTGGTGTTCATATGCTTTTGTTGGGGGTACTGGGAATTAAACTCAGGGCTTTGCACCTGCCAGGCAGATGCTATGCCACTAAGCTATATCCCTGGCCCCATATGCTCTTTTATGTCCAGTAGTGTTTTATGAAATTGGGTACACCGGTGTTTGGTGCATATATATTTATAATTATTACCTCTTCCTATTGAATTGTTCTCTTAACCAATATGTAGTGACCTTTTTGCCTCTTCTGATCAGTTTTAGCTTGAAGTTCAGGATTGCAACTCCTCCTTTCCATCAAGGTCCTCTTGTTTGGAATATTATTTTCTGCCCTTTGATTTTAGTCTGTGAATTTTTTTTTATTACATGTGGTCCATGTATATGGTATACCATTGGATTTTGTTTCTTAATCTTGCTTCCCTGGGCAGGGGATGTGGTTCAGTGGTAGAGTTCTTGCTTTGGGTGCACAAGGCCCTGGGTTCGATTCCTAGCACCACACACACAAACACACACACACACACACACACACACACACACACACCTCTAGTCTCCCAATCTGTATCTCTTGACTGAGAAATCAAGACTATTTGCATTAAAAGTTGTTAGTGAGAGATATTTCTTCTTTTTAAAAAAAAAATGTATTTGGTTGTTGCAGGGTCTCACTACTTAGCTCAGACTCATGGTGATCCTCCTGCTTTCAGCCTCCCCAGTGCTGGGATTACAGGTGTTTGCCATTATGCCTGGACTCTGACTAGCTCAGTCTGCTCTGGGGGTGGGGTGGGGTGGCATGTGGTGCCAGAGAATGAACTGCAGTCTCCGAGCTTGCCTGAGCTTGCCTAAGCAGGTGCTTTAGTCCACTGAGCTCTATCGCCAGCCCCCGAGATACTCATTGTTGCATTACACTGTTCTGCTATTCTTCGTATCTTTTTGTCCCCCTTCTTCTTCACTGATCCCCATATATGATATATCCATTGCACTATAATTTTTGGCATTGTTGACTTCATTGTCTCTGTAGGGTAACCTTGAGTTGTTCTTCTTTTGTTTTCTTTTGTTTTTTTGAGTGTTGGTTTGGTTGTCACGAAATTCTGAAGGTTTTCTTCATCACAGAAAGACTTTATTTCACCATCATTTTTTTTTCTTTCCGAGACATGGTTTCACTCATGTAGTTCAGGCTGCTATCATTCTCACAGGGATCCTCCTGCCTCAATCTCTCAAGTGCTGGGATTACAGATGTACACCACCATGCCCGGCTTCTCCATTAATTTTTAAAGATAGTTTTTCAGGATATATTGATCTGGGTTGAAAGCAGTTTTCTTTTAGGGCTTGAAGCACTTCACTCCAAGTTTTCTTGGCCTTGAGGATTTGTGTTGAAAAGTGTACTGTAATTCTAATCTGCTTAATGTTATAAATAATTTGTTGCTTTTCTCAAGCAGTTTTTGAAATTCTATCCTTGTATTGGACTTCTGTGATTTTGACTATGATGTAATATAGTGAAGTACTTTTCTAACTATGGCTATTTTGAGCTCTGCATGCCTGCTTACCTATGTGCTAATTTTTTCCTATACTTGGAAAGTTTTCTTCTATTATTTCCATAAGAAGGTTTTTTAAATGCCAATCATGCTGTCTTCCAATTTTTCACTGATTCCCATAATCTTGGTCTTCTTTGCAGCATCTCGCAGGTCTTGGGTCCATTTTCCATGATCTCTTACTGTATATAGGGGATCGCTAAGTGTATGATCCCCTGCCTCAGCACTGTTTCTAGCTCTGATGCTCTTGCCCCACATTTGGTCACTTCTACTGCCCATTCTTCCACATGCATATTTTACTTCTTGGATTTCTGTCTGGTATGTTTTCATGGAGCATAATTTTTTGCTAAACTGGGCACTCATGTTTTATATTGCTTTGTTTAGTTCTGCTAGCATTTTATTAGTGTTATCTGCAAGCTCAGGGATCATATTGTGTGTTTAGTTATATTATCTTTGAGCTCACAGAGTACCTTATTGATCTGACTTTTTTTTTTTTTGGTCCCTTCTTTTATCATTTCATATAAGCCAACTGTTTAGCTTTTTATTTCTTCTGCATCAATGGATTAGCTCTGGGGAAATTGGGAGTTTGGAGGAGCATTTTGTTGCCTTGTTTTCACATTTCTTCTCTTTCTTTCTTTCATTTTTTCTTTCTTTTTTTGGTGTATTGAGAGTTGAAGGTCAATTATAGCTGAAAGACTTTGCTGTTCGTATGGAGATATGTCTAGTGCGTGAGTGCTTTCTAGTCATGCTCTGTGGGTATGGCTAGCTACTGGCCACTGCCTCTGTCTCATATATGATCATTGCCATTAATCTGAGGGTGCAGGGTAACTGACCCAGCATCCCGTTCTCTTGTGTTAGAAAAGACAGGTCCCCTCTTTGGGGGAAACACTAGCATTCCAGACTGTTTTGTTCTTTTCTCTGCTTTAATTTTCATTTAAACTTAATAATTTTAAATACTTATTTTAAGTTATATACTTTTTCAAGCAGAGAGAATAGTATAAAAATAATGATATACACAAATGTAACAAGATTTAACTATAATTAATTTTGATTTGTTTCATTTAAATAAATTTTGCAGGTCAAGTCATCACCCTGCATCTCATTTTCCTCTGTCATTCTCCAAGGGTAGTCATTATGTTGGTACCCATGACAGCACTGCATAGCACTGATTTTTGTTTTCTTAAAATTAACATAGAAATACTGCTTTTTCTCATGTATAAGATTTTCTCTATTGTATATCCATATGAATGGAATTCCTGGTGTATAGAGTATCTAAACTGACTGTAAATCAGAATCAATCCCAAATAATAATGTCCTAAATAAGTAGAAGTTTATTTCTCCCTCACATTAGAAAAAGTCCAGGGTTTAGGGCTAGCCAGATAGCTCAGCAGACTAAAGCACCTGCTTAGGCAGAGTGCAGTGGTTGGGGTTCGATCCCCAGCCCTGCCGCCAGGGCACACTGAGACAAGATTGAGACTGGGCATGGTGGTACATGCCTGTAATCCCAGTGCTTGGGAGGCTGAAAACAGGAGGATCACTATGAGTCCAATCTGTGTAGTAAACGTTATAGACCCTGTACTAAACACATTAAAAAAGAAAAGAAAAAATCCAGGGTTGGAATGGAGGGCTTCAAGAAACTCAGGCAAAAGTGTAGCCATGTCCACATCCAGGAGGCTGCAGGCCCTAACATCACCTCGAAGGCACCCGAATGAGGGGAGAGAAAATCGGGCCCAACTAAGATTCTAGCCTTTTGGGGAAGGGTACAGGGTATCAAACATGGTACCTTGTGCCTGCCAGGCAGGTATTTAAGCCACCGAGCTATCTCCTCAGCCCAAGATTCTCGCCTTATCAACCATATTTATCTTAACAATTTCTATTTCTTTGCTTGGTGCTCCATCTTCTCTTGTTGCATTCTTATTTTGGCTTCTGTTCTTTCTTTTATCTCTCTGCTAACTTTTATGTACTTGTACTATAAACTTCTGAATTATTCTGTCGTCTCTGGTTCAAAGACTCCTGTTATCTTCCTATCCTCTCTCATGATTGAGCATTTGTAATGTTTTATACACTCCATCTTCTGTTTTTCTCTGGCTCCCTGCTCTTATCTGGTTTGAGGAAGTTTGACTGCAAAGCAGTTTTTCAAATACTTTT